TGTGTTGTGTGTGTTGTTTGTTTGTGTGTTTGTGTTGTGTGTGTTGTTGTGTGTTGTTGTGTGTGTTTGTTGTGTTGTGTGTTTTGTTGTTTTGTGTTTGTGTGTGTTTGTTTTGTGTGTTGTTTTGTGTTGTTTGTGTGTTGTGTGTTTGTGTTGTGTTTTGTGTTGTGTGTTGTGTTTTGTGTGTTTGTTGTTTGTGTTTGTTGTGTTGTGTTTTGTGTTGTGTTTTGGTGTGTTGTTTGTTGTGTTGTGTTTTGTGTGTTGTTTGTTGTGTTGTGTGTTGTTTGTGTGTTTGTTGTGTGTGTTTTGTTGTGTTTGTGTTTGTTGTGTTTGTGTTGTGTGTTGTTTGTTTTGTGTGTTTGTTTTGTGTGTTGTTTGTTGTGTGTGTTTTGTTGTTGTGTTTTTGTGTTGTGTTTGTTGTTGTTGTTTGTTTGTGTGTGTTGTGTTTTGTGTGTTGTTGTTGTGTTTGTGTTGTGTTGTTGTTTGTGTGTTTTGTGTTTGTGTTTTGTGTTGTGTGTTGTTTGTGTTTTGTGTTGTGTTTGTTGTGTGTTTGTGTTGTGTGTTGTGTTTGTGTTGTGTTTTGTGTTGTTTTTGTTGTGTTTTTGTGTTGGTGTTGTTGTGTTTGTGTTGTTGGTGTGTGTTTGTTTGTTTTGTTTTGTTGTGTTTGTGTTGTTGTTTGTGTGTGTGTTGTGTGTTGTTGTGTTGTTTGTGTGTGTTGTTTGTGTGTTTGTGTTTGTTGTTGTGTTTGTGTTTGTGTGTTGTGTTGTGTTTGTTGTGTGTTGTTTGTGTGTTGTGTTGTGTTTGTTGTTGTGTTTTGTGTTGTGTTGTGTTGTTGTGTTTTGTGTTGTTGTTGTGTTGTGTTGTTTTGGTTGTGTTTTGTTGTGGTGTTTGTTGTGTTGTGTTGTTGTGTTTGTGTTGTTGTGTTTGTTTGTTGTTGTTTGTGTTGTGTTGTGTGTTTTGTTTGTTGTGTGTTTGTGTTGTTTGTTGTGTGTTGTGTTTTGTGTTGTGTGTTGTGTTGTGTTTGTTGTGTGTGTTTGTGTTTGTGTGTTTGTGTGTTGTTTGTTGTGTTTTGTTGTGTGTTTGTTTGTTGTGTTGTTTGTGTTTGTTTGTTTGGTGTGTTGTTGTGTTTGTGTGTTTTGTGTTGTTTGTTGTTGTGTTGTTTGTGTGTTTGTTGTGTTGTGTTTGTTTTGTTGTTGTTTGTGTTGTTTTTGTTGTTGTGTTGTGTTGTGTTTGTTTTGTGTTTTTGTGTTGTGTGTTTTTGTTGTGTTGTGTTTTGTGTTGTTTGTGTTTGTGTTGTGTTTTTGTGTTTGTTGTGTTGTGTTGTTTTGTGTTGTGTTGTGTTGTTGTGTTTGTTTTTGTTGTGTGTTTGTGTGTTGTGTTGTTTGTTGTTGTGTTTATGTGTTTGTTTTGTGTTGTACGTTTGTTTGTTGTGTGTGTGTTTACTGTGATGTTGTGTTTTGTGTGTTGTGTTTTGTGTTGTGTTTGTGTTTGATGTAATGTGTGTGTGTTTAAGTGTTTGTTGTGTGTTGAGTTTAATGTGTGTGTGTTTGTTTAATGTTGTGTTTGTTGTATGAAGTTTGTGTGTGTTGTGTGTGTTTTGTTTGATGTGTGTGTGTGTTGTTTGTTAAAGTGTGTGTTTAATGTGTTGTTTTGTTGTGTGTGTTTAATGTTTTGTTGTGTGTTTGTTTGTTTGTGTGTTGTGTTTAAATGTGTGTGTTTGTGTGTTATAATGTGTTGTGTGTTTGATGTGTGTGTGTTTGTTTGTGTGTGTTTAATGTGTGTGTTAATGTGTGTGTGTGTTGATGTGTGTGTGTTTAATGTGTGATTGTGATTAATGTGTGTGTTTAATGTGTGTGTGTTTTGTTTGTGTGTGTTTGTGTTCTGTTGTGTTTAATGTGTGTGTGTTTGATGTGTGTGTGTTTTGTGTGTGTGTTAAATGTGTTGTGTGTTTGTTGTGGTGTGTTTAATGTGTGTGTGTCATTTGATTAATGTTGTGTGTGTTTTGTGTGTGTGTTTGTGTGTGTGTGTGTTTAATTGTGTGTGTTTACGTGTGTGTGTTATTGTGTGTGTGTTTTGTGTGTGTGTGTTTAATGTGTGTCGTGTTTAATGTGTGGTGTTTTGTGTGTGTGTTTCAATGTGTGTGTGTTTAATGTGTGTGTTTAATGTGTGTGTTAAATGTGTGTGTGTTTTAATGTGTGTGTGTTTATTGTGTGTGTTTACTGTGTGTGTGTTTAATGTGTGTGTTGTTTAATGTGTGTGTGTTTGATGTGTGTGTGTTTATGTGTGTGTGTTAATTGTGTGTGTTTAATGTGTGTGTTTATTGTGTGTGTTTAATGTGTTCTAATGTGTGTGTTTAATGTGTGTGTGTTTATTGTGTGTGTGTGTTTGTGTGTTTAATGTGTGTGTGTTTAATGTGTGTGTTTAATGTGTGTGTGTTTGTAATTGTGTGTGTGTTTTATGTGTGTGTTTAATGTGTGTGTTTAATGTGTGTGTGTTTAATGTGTGTGTGTTTAATGTGTGTGTGTTTAATGTGTGTGTTTAATGTGTGTGTGTTTAATGTGTGTGTTTTAATGTGTGTGTGTTTAATGTGTGTGTGTTTAATGTGTGTGTTTAATGTGTGTGTTTGATGTGTGTGTGTTTAATGTGTGTGTTTAATGTGTGTGTGTTTAATGTGTGTGTTTAATGTGTGTGTGTTTAATGTGTGTGTGTTTAATGTGTGTGTGTTTAATGTGTGTTTAATGTGTGTGTTTAATGTGTGTGTTTAATGTGTGTGTGTTTGATGTGTGTGTTTAATGTGTGTGTGTTAATGTGTGTGTGTTTGATGTGTGTGTGTTTAATGTGTGTGTGTTTAATGTGTGTGTTTGATGTGTGTGTGTTTTTTGATGTGTGTGTGTTTAATGTGTGTGTGTTAATGGTGTGTGTGTTTAATGTGTGTGTTTAATGTGTGTGTGTTTATGTGTGTGTGTTTGTGTGTGTGTTTAATGTGTGTGTGTTTATGTGTGTGTGTTTAATGTGTGTGTTTAATGTGTGTGTGTGTTTAATGTGTGTGTTTAATGTGTGTGTGTTTAATGTGGGTGTGTTTTGATGTGTGTGTTTTATGTGTGTGTGTTTAATGTGTGTGTGTTTAATGTGTGTGTGTTTAATGTGTGTGTGTGTTGTTTGTGTGTGTGTGTTTAATGTGTGTGTTTAATGTGTGTGTTTAATGTGTGTGTTTGATGTGTGTGTGTTTAATGTGTGTGTGTTTAATGTGTGTGTGTTTAATGTGTGTGTGTTTAATGTGTGTGTGTTAATGTGTGTGTGTTTAATGTGTGTGTTTAATGTGTGTGTTTGATGTGTGTGTGTTTAATGTGTGTGTGTTTAATGTGTGTGTTTAATGTGTGTGTGTTTAATGTGTGTGTGTTTAATGTGTGTGTTAATGTGTGTGTGTTTAATGTGTGTGTTTAATGTGTGTGTGTTTAATGTGTGTGTGTTTAATGTGTGTTTGATGTGTTGTGTGTGTGTGTGTTATGTGTGTGTTTAATGTGTGTGTGTTTAATGTGTGTGTGTTTAATGTGTGTGTTTAATGTGTGTGTGTTTAATGTGTGTGTGTTTAATGTTTGTGTGTTTAATGTGTGTGTTTAATGTGTGTGTGTTTGTGTTAATGTTGTGTGTGTTTAATGTGTGTGTGTTTAATGTGTAATGTGTGTGTGTGTTTGATGTGTGTGTTTAATGTGTGTGTGCTTAATGTGTGTGTGTGTTAAATGTGTGTGTGTTTAATGTGTGTGTGTTTATTGTGTGTGTTTACTGTGTGTGTGTTTAATGTGTGTGTGTTTAATGTGTGTGTGTTTATTGTGTGTGTTTAATGTGTGTGTTTAATGTGTGTGTCTTTAATGTGTGTGTTTACTGTGTGTGTTTAATGTGTGTGTTTGATGTGTGTGTGTTTAATGTGTGTGTGTTTAATGCGTGTGTTTGATGTGTGTGTGTTTAATGTGTGTGTGTTTAATGTGTGTGTGTTTAATGTGTGTGTGTTTAATTGTGTGTGTTTAATGTGTGTGTGTTTAATGTGTGTGTGTTTAATGTGTGTGTTTACTGTGTGTGTTTAATGTGTGTGTTTGATGTGTGTGTGTTTAATGTGTGTGTGTGTTTAATGTGTGTGTTTGATTTGTGTGTGTTTAATGTGTGTGTGTTTAAATGTGTGTGTTTAATGTGTGTGTTTTGATGTGTGTGTGTTTAATGTGTGTGTTTAATATGTGTTTTCTTTACAGATCTGAGCTGGAACAAATGCAGACCAGGTAATAGATGTGACTGATGTGACCTGCTCTGATCTGGGAGTAGCTCTGCCCAGACCCAGAAATGGATTAAGGGAAAGATATGTGGAAACCATAGACTGTATATGTTAATGGACAGAGTCACGCCTATCTCCGCCGTTCATAGGAGTTGGCCATGAAAAGTCCTTTCATGGAGCAATCCAAGATGGCCGCAAGTGGTCCCGTCCACAAGAAAATTCGTCAGCCGGCGCAGCTCCATTCATTTGAACGAGAGACTTCAAAAATTCCCCGCGACTAAACTAGAGTGGACCAAAAAAATCACCCCCCTCAGCATTGACACACATGTGGAACGGAGCTTTGGGCCAAGAGCCAACTTTTGGTCCATCCTGTAAAGACGTTTTTGAGAGGTCTGCTAATGCTATATGTTAGCATTGGCTAATTCTTCTTCCGGGTCCACCCCCACAGGCCCGGGGTGGTACTGCAGCATGTCAGCGCACGTCATTTTGGCCACTTTTGAGCTGGGACCCTCCCCCACTGGTGGAAACACAAGACACAGGTCAGAGGTCAAAGGTTAGAGTCAAAGGTCAGAGGTCAGATACAGGGGTCAAAGGTCAGAGGTCAGAGACAGAGGTCAACGGTCAGAGACAGAGGTCAAAGGTCAGACTCTGGTTGTGTTTTCAGAAGAAAGAGAAGCTGTGGTCGCTGTGAAGACCTGACTCAGGAACATGCAGAGAGGTCTGTGCTCTCTCCCCCATGTCCTCCCTCCCCCATGTCCTCTCCCCCCCATATCCTCCCTCCCCCATGTCCTCTCTCCCCCATGTCCTCGCTCCCCCATCTCCTCTCTCCCCCATGTCCTCTCTCCCCCATGTCCTCCCTCCCCCATATCCTCCCTCCCCCATGTCCTCTCTCCCCCATATCCTCCCCCCCCCATGTCCTCCCTCCCCCATGTCCTCTCTCCCCCATATCCTCCCCTCCCCCATGTCCTCTCCCCCCCATATCCTCCCTCCCCCAATCCTCCCTCCCCCATGTCCTCCCTCCCCCATGTCCTCCCCCCCATATCCTCCCTCCCCCATATCCTCCCTCCCCCATGTCCTCTCTCCCCCATATCCTCCCCCTCAGGTCTTAAAGTCTCTCTCATAAAATCATCTCCTGTTTGTGTTTCAGGATCAAAGTCCTGAGGTGAACATCACACCCAAGGACCATAACAACACTGACCCAAGGACCATAACAACACTGACCCAAGGACCATAACAACACTGACCCAAGGACCATAACAACACTGACCCAAGGACCATAACAACACTGACCCAAGGACCATAACAACCCTGACCCAACGACCATAACAACACTGACCCAAGGACCATAACAGCCCTGACAAGTACATATAGACACAGAGAGGCAAAGGTACAAGTGGAGGAGCAGCGACTCTACTCAGAGCTCCTCTGTGTGACTGAGCTCATCCCCCTATCTAAGGTCACAAGAGCAGAACTGACCAGTAAATCCAGAGCTCTGACTGCAGCCACTGCTCCCTCGCACCACAATAGTCCATAATGTTTTATGTCTCCACAGATTTGATCTGAAACAAAAAGAGGCAGAACTGAAGCAGAGCAGAGAGAGGTGAGACTCAGTCTCAATGTCCACTTTGAACCGACTCATAGTGTGTGTGTCTGTGTGTGTCTGTCTGTCTGTGTCTATCTGTCTGTGTGTGTGTCTTTGTGTGTCTGTGTGTGTGTGTGTGTATCTGTGTGTGTGTCTGTGTGTGTCTGTGTGTGTGCGTGTCTGTCTGTGTGTGTGTGTGTGTGCGTCTCTCTGTGTGTGTGTGTGTGTGTATGTGTCTGTGAGTGTGTGCGTGTGTGTCGGTCTGTGTGTGTGCGTGTATGTGACTGCCTGTGTGAGTGTTTCCAGTGTGTTTGTGTGTCACCTCTTTTTGATCACTCTATCATTTGAATAATTTCCAGGCGTGCGTCATCCGTCTGCCGGCGCTGTGAGGACCAGGCCCAGGAGCACAAGCAGACGTCAGTATTTTACTTTCACTTTCACTTTGACTCTGTCCAAACTCCTGTGTGTGTCTCACAGAGTACAAGAGATGGAGACTTTCTACAGAAGCAAACTGAGTGAGGCCAGGTACACACACAAATATACACACACACAGACACACACAAACACAGACACACACACAGACACACTCACAGACACAGACACACACACGCAGACACACACACACACACAGACACACACACACACAGACACACACAGACACACACGCACACACACATACACACACACACATACACACACACACACAGACACATACACACAGACACATACACACACACACACACACACACACACACACACACACACACACAGACACACACACACACACAGACACACACACACACACAGACACACACACACACAGACACACACACACACACACACACACGCACAGACACACACACAGACACACACACACGCAGACACACACACACACACAGACACACACACACACACACACATACACACACACACACACAGACACATACACACACACACACATACACAGACAGACAGACACACACACACACAGAGACACACAAATACACACACAGACACACACACACACTTCCTGGTTAAACAAAGAGGCCTCTGTTCCACAGATCTGCTCTGGAGCAGAAGGAGGAGCAGTTCAGGTCCTTCAAAGACCGGTGAGTCCAAGCACCTGGTGAGGCGTTCATGGTTCTCTTTGCAGATGTTGATGGTTCTCTTTGCAGATGTTGATGGTTCTCTTTGCAGATGATTATGGTTCTTGTTGCAGATGTTGATGGTTCTTGTTGCAGATGTTTATGGTTATTTTGCAGATGTTGATGGTTCTTGTTGCAGATGTTGATGGTTCTCTTTGCAGATGTTGATGGTTCTTGTTGCAGATGTTGATGGTTCTTGTTGCAGATGTTGATGGTTCTTGTTGCAGATGTTGATGGTTCTCTTTGCAGATGTTGATGGTTCTCTTTGCAGAGTGGCAGAGAATGTTCTTCTCTCGTCAACAACAGAAAACACTGAGAACATGAACAGTCCAGTGAACCGGAGCCGCCTCACAGAGATGTACCAGCAGCTGAGAGTGTGTGTGTGGCCTCACATCAACTGGACACAGCCCGAGCACCGGGCCAGGGACCTGGTCCAGGTAACTGTGAGGACCCTGTGACTGTGAGGACCTGTGACTGTGAGGACCTGTGACTGTGAGGACCTGTAACTGTGAGGATCTGTGACTGTGAGGACCCTGTGACTGTGAGGACCCTGTGACTGTGAGGACCCTGTGACTGTTAGGACATGTGACTGTAAGGACCCTGTGACTGTGAGGACCTGTGACTGTGAGGACCTGTGACTCTGAGGACCCTGTGACTCTGAGGACCTGTGACTGTGAGGACCTGTGACTGTGAGGACCTATGACTGTGAGGACCCTGTGACTGTGAGGACCTGTGACTGTGAGGACCCTGTGACTGTGAGGACCTGTGACTGTGAGGATCTGTGACTGTGAGGACCCTGTGACTGTGAGGACCTGTGACTGTGAGGACCTGTGATTGTGAGGACCCTGTGACTGTGAGGACCTAGTGACTGTGAGGACCCAGTGACTGTGAGGACCCTGTGACTGTGAGGATGTATGATTGTTATATTGTCGTGTTGTTCTTACAGGAGGTGTTCTCTAGAGCCCATGAGAACATGACCAAAGCCTTGAGCACAGTGTGTGCAGGAAGCACCTCCTCACCACAGGTACTGATGAAGAGGAGGATGATGATGATGAGGATGATGATGATGATGATGATGAGGCTGCTGTGTTTCAGGTGGACACATTCAGGCGCAGGGCTCTGGAGAACCTGCAGATGGTGCTGCTGCACAGCAGTAAACAGCAGGTGTGTGTGAAGGCCTTCCCCTCTCTCTCTGGACCAGAACTGGACTTGGCCTCAGAGTGTTACTGGTTGGGTTGTCTGATGGCTCTGCACTCTCCTCCTCTGCATCCAGACTGGGACAGAGGGCCTGGACTGGTCTTCCCACGGGACATCAGGGAAATCAGGACTAAACGACGACGTGCTGCTCCCACAGTCACTCACCTTTGAGCCCGACCAGAAACAGCAGAATATCGACACAGAACAATATAGAGGTGTTTTTCTGGACCAGTCTAGTTTAGTCGCTGTGGGATCTTGAATGCACTCGTCAAATGAATGGGGCTCGTGCAGCTGACGCAAGCACATTTTTTTGTACACATTTTCAAGCCCCAGCAGCCATTTTGAAACTTCGGAGAACTGTGTCAGGACAAGCCGCGTTTGAGATTCATGCAGCTAAAATCTGGAACAGTCTTCTGGAAAATGTGAGACTTCTCTCACAATGTTTAAATCCAATCATATCTTCATGATTTTTATCGCACTATGATTATTTAAAACTTCTGTGAATGTGTGTATCTGGTTTTCAGATTCAGATTTAGTTTATTTGCCATTTGCAGTAAAAAAACCACATTGGTTTTGTTCAGCACTTTGAGTTTCCTTTTGCATGAACTGTGCTATACAAATAACCTTGTCTTAATAATCCGTGGTTCACTGCACTCTCTGATCCTCGTGTTTATGTTGTGATTTTATTTTTGTTTATGAGTCATATAAATATTGACCAATCAGATGCTTTCATTCAGAAGAAACACCCTGTGGTGATGTCACACTCGGTCAGTCCACTCCTTGAGCAGTCTATGAGCTCAACATGTGCGAGGTCAGAGGTCAGAGGTCAGAAGGATTAAACAACAACAACCATTATAATAATGATAGTAATAATAACCATAATAGTAATAATAATTATAATAATAATAATAATAATAATAAAAGTAATAATAATAATAATAATAATATTGGGGCGACTGTGGCTCAGTTGGTAGATCATTGGCCTTTGAGCCTGAAGGTTGTGGGTTCGAGTAACTGCTGTCATTGTGTCCTTGGGCAAGACAGTTAACCCCTGCAGGAGGATCAGTGAGGGGCTGGTGGTCTGTGCACTGGGTGCTGCTCTGACTGCCACCCCCGACCCAGAAATGGATTAAGGGGAAGAATATAGATGGATAATAATAATAATAATAATAATGTAATATTATTATTATTATTAAGTGCTTTTTGGACCCTTGAAGATTCAGTCACTCTGAACACGGTGCTGACCAACGTTAAAAGTGCCAGAGTGGGTCACACTGATATTGTCTTTTAGTTTTTTTGTGTTGTGAATTTTATAATAAATATTCCACTGTCGTTTTTAAACATCGAATAAGATTAAATAAGAAAACATCCCACAGTGGGGAAATTTGAATAAACTGAACCACACCTCAACAGATGCCGTGGATTCCAGTCTGACACCGCTCAAACCACATTCCCCAGAGCACATCGATTCTGGGAAGACGACGGAATGTTTATGAGAAACAGGAAGACTGTTTGGGGATTTCCTCTTCAGGGTTACACCCTCGCACACACAGGACTCAGGGCCAAACCTCGCAGACGTACGCACTGTAACGACCACAGCGACTCCCCCTGACTCCCCCTCACTCCCCCTCTCTCCCCCTCACTCGCAGAGATGAGTAGGGATTACCTTATTGCCATTGACTTTGGCACGTCTTACAGTGGTTATGTTTACAGCATTGCCCCCAGAGGGGCTGAGCTGGTTCCGAACCTGCGGCGCTGGGGTCAGGAGTACGGACACAACACTCCAAAGACCCCCAACTGCGTTCTGTTCGATGCCAACGGGAACTTCATGCATTTTGGATACGAGGCCAAAGATAAGTACTTGGAGATGGACAAAGACGATGCAGCCAAGAACTATTTCTTTGAGAACTTCAAAATGGAACTGTACAATAAGGTCAGTCAACTGTTTATTGTTTTGACTTCAACACATTTTAGTATAGATGAGACGCACGTTTATTGTTATAAAAGACTGTATTCCTTTGCTTTGATCATAACACGTCAACAGTTTAAAAAAACAGTTGTCTATCTGCTGTCGGAGAACCTTTATGAGTGTTACAGTACAGCATGAACACCTGCAGCTTAGATTCAGGTGTGGTTTGTTTGTGGCGTTTACTGTCTTCAAATGCAGCTGGTGTGGTCTGTGCACAGGTTCACTTAACAGTATTGTCCATTACATCCACATACAGGATGTTTCTAATCCTCAAAAGGATTAAATTCCTTCTCCAGAATTTGGATTCAGTGCACATAAGCTCTCCAAGAACAGGACCATCAATAATGTACATGTCAGATAGAACCTAGAGGAAGCGTTGGTGTCAGTATTGTCTGTAAGCAGCTCTGCCAGTGATGTAACCCATGTTGGCTTCTGTTTCCTGATCAGAAAATCACTAAAGATCTGACCATCAAAGACGGGAGGAAGCGTCCGATGAGCGCGCTCAAGGTGTTCTCTGCGGCGCTGAGGTTTCTGAAGGACGACGCCCTCAAAACCATCTTCATGAACACAAGTGGAACGAGGTTCACTGCCGCAGACTTCAGCTGGGTCCTCACGGTGCCGGCCATCTGGGACAACTCTGCTCGACAGTTCATGAGAGACGCTGCTGTCGAGGTTTGAGGAGCGAGTCCAACTGTGTTAGCTCCTATGTCCCCTGTGACCTGTCCTCAGGCTGGGATGGTGTCTTCTCTTTCTGTTTAATGCACATGTCTCATGTCCTCAGGCTGGGATCGTGTCCTCGTCCTCTCAGGACAAACTGGTGATCGCGCTGGAGCCAGAGGCTGCTTCAGTTTGGTGTAAGAAACTTCCGTGCGACGGCTTCATCACTGAAGAACATGAAGGAGCTGCTCTCCAGCAGACTCCAGGGACTCAGTACGTCGTTGTGGACTGTGGAGGTCAGTTTCATATATAAATATTCTGTGGTGGATGTGGTACACGCCATCAATCACCAACTACACATGAAACACCTAAATACTACTCTGCATGAGCTGTTTGGAGTTTGTCCTGTGGCTCTGGCAAACATCGTGGTCAGACTTCAGCGGCTGCAGGAGATGATGACCAGCTTGAAGTCCTTGGCCTGTATTGTTTAGTTACTACCAGCAGATTAGAAGGACCTGATTAGATTTCCAGACAAACACAGGTGTCATGTGAAAACAAATGTCCTCTTTCAAACAGTCGTCTTTAAGGCGTCAATTCTGTGTTTCAGGAGGAACCATCGACATTACAGTTCATGAAGTCCTTGAAGGGGGAGCCCTTAAAGAGCTGCACAAAGCATCAGGAAACGACAAAGGAGGACGAAGAGTGAACAAGAGGTTTAACCAGTGTCTGAGAGAGTTCTTCTGTGGCGGTCTGTGGGAAGACTACGAGAGAGAGTTTCCCTGTGAAGCTCAGAAATTTATGTACGATTTTGAAATAGTAAAAGTGGCTGAAGGCGACGTGAAGATGATCTGTTACTATAATCTTTGTCATCTTGTTGAACAAAATCAGAAGAAGGGTAAAAAAGTGTTTAACTCTGTAGAAGGCGTGAGCTGGGCCCGTGGCAAAATCCTGATCTCTAAAAGCAAGATGGAGTCTTTCTTCCATGAGAGTCTGGTGCACATCACTGACAGTCTGTGCGAGATCCTGGACTCACATTCTCAGATACAGTACATTCTGTTAGTGGGAGGTTTCTCTCAGAGCAGGATCCTCTGTGACCATGTGCGCCAACAGTTCAGTGACCGGGCCAGAGTGCTGTGCCCTAAGAACCCTCAGGAGGCCATTCTGAAGGGAGCTGTGGTGTTCGCACGAGACCAGGCGGTCATCCGCTCTCGCAAGAGCGCATTCACGTACGGAGTGAAGACATGCGTGAGGTACGACGAGTCAAAACACAAGAGTAAGTTTACCAATAAAGAGGGGGACTGGTGTGATGTCATGTTTAAAAAGTTAGTGGGAATCGATGAAGACGTGGGATGGGATGAAACTAGGAAGTACAGCTTTACTCCAACAGAAAGGGACCATACAGCTATGAATCTTGAGTTCTACCGAACTGAGAGGAAGTCTGTGACATACGTGGATGAGTGGGGGGTGGAGGGTCCTGTGGCCTGCTGTACTGTGGCCATGCCAGACACCAGCAAAGGCATGGATCGTAGAGTCAAACTGGAGGTGTTCTTTGGCTCCACTGAGATCAGAGCAAAGGCCACAGACCTGGAGTCGAACTGCACTGCTTCTGTCAAAATAGACTTCATCAGTAAATAATACAGGCGCAGTGACCTGAAACACCTGTATAACACAGGGTCAGATGATGGTTCTGTCGACTCACTGTGGACATGTGTCTGTGGTGTTTTTGCCTGTGATCCTGGATTATAAACTTGGCTTTTTCTCTTGTGTTGGATTCATTGTTGCTGTTCATCTCTGAAATAAGTGTAAATATTTGAAACCTCTTTGAAAATAATAAATGGTACTTGACATAAGAGAAAAACATACAAGTATTTCCTGTCAAACCCTCCCTCAGCTCTGGTCATGAGGAAGCAGCGTCTGCAGTCAGAGTCCACCCTCACCAATGTATCACAGTTTTATCTGGTTTACTGAACGAATGGAGGGTTTGCGGCTGAAACAATCTCTTCTTGTGAAGTCTCAGCTGACCTGGAAACACCTTCAGTCTGTCCTGGATGAAGTGAGTGTGGAGAGGATCTGGGAAGTCCACACCAAAGTCTGTGATGACAAAAAGGACATGAACATGGTTACTGCACATTGTGATGGTTAATAAATGGTTCAGAGGGATATGTGTGATTGACATGTGACTGTAAAACATATGATTTATGTCTGTCACCCCCAATGTAAGCCCTTTATAACATGCACACAGCTCCTTGTATGATGTCACAGGACAAACAGATTTGAACCAACAGCACATATTGATGCTTTAAGGAACTACGCAATCGAGACATGATCTTTCTAGTGCATTGTGTTCTTTTCTTTATCTTCATCGTTCTTACTAACTAAAGGTAAAAAACAAAGTAGGCCTAGGTGTGCACTGTGCAGTAGCAGCAGTTAGACAACAAACCTGTAGTTTAACTGGTTAAAGCTAACCTGAATATTGTGATACTTTAAATCCACTGCTTTTCAGCCACTTTGAAAAACTTGTTTTCATCCCATCCCATTTTTTTCTCTCTCAATTTTTCGTTTTCAGTTTTGCGCCCCCCGAGGACTTTTTTTTTCTGTTTCTCCGTCTCGCGAGAGGTAAATAATGATTTTGCTAATGTTAAATGCGATGGCAGCCTGTCAAAGCAGGGGGCGCTGTTGACTTTGTGGGGCACTGCTGTCACGTGCTGCTGAACCAACCCAGAGGGCGGGATGGGCACAGATCCATGAGTCTGGACTCTCCAGGACAAGTTCATATTTATATTTATTTATTTCCTTCTAGCGTTTTGGCGCCCCCTGTCTTTCGTCACCCCTATGCCAGACATACAGACACATGTTTCCTACTGAACAAACCGGTCAAACTGGTCAAACTGGTGTCACACTGGTGTCACACTGGTGTCACACCGGTGCCAGGAACCAGAGGGACGGAGCTCCAACGGCTGCGTTGAACACTGATGGTATCTGTGATAGTTCAATAAATGAGCACATGGAGGACCTGCCCCGAGCCGAGTCCTGGGGCCCCGTCCAGTCCCCGCCGAGGTGAGCACTGACCAGTTAATCTAAAGCTGTGTTTACCACAGCTGCATTTTAACCTGTGCTGTTTGGCGACAGTAACAAAGGATTATTATTATACAGAATACGTCTTGTACATGACCCAGTGTTTGTGAGAACGAGGAACTTTGTTTTATAAATGTAGTTCATCCTCAGATTTGAGTGACATCATACACAACATTTCTCTGACAGTGAAGATTATTTTACTATTTATAACATATGTAACACAGGTGTAATGTGAGGTCTGTGACACAGGTGTAATGTGAGGTCTGTAACACAGGTGTAATGTGAGGTCTGTAACACAGGTGTAATATGAGGTCTGTAACACAGGTGTAATGTGAGGTCTGTAACACAAGTGTAATGTGAGGTCTGTGACACAGGTGTAATGTGAGGTCTGTGACACAGGTGTAATGTGAGGTCTGTGACACAGGTGTAATGTGAGGTCTGTGACACAGGTGTAATGTGAGGTCTGTAACACAGGTGTAATGTGAGGTCTGTGACACAGGTGTAATGTGAGGTCTGTAACACAGGTGTAATGTGAGGTCTGTGACACAGGTGTAATGTGAGGTCTGTGACACAGGTGTAATGTGAGGTCTGTGACACAGGTGTAATGTGAGGTCTGTAACACAGGTGTAATGTGAGGTCTGTGACACAGGTGTAATGTGAGGTCTGTGACACAGGTGTAATGTGAGGTCTGTAACACAGATGTAATGTGAAGTCTGTAACACAGGTGTAATGTGAGGTCTGTGACACAGGTGTAATGTGAGGTCTGTGACACAGGTGTAATGTGAGGTCTGTGACACAGGTGTAATGTGAGGTCTGTAACACAGGTGTAAGATAAGATAAGATGTGCTTTATTTATCTCACAGAGGAGAAATGTACATGTCACATTTGGCATGGATAGAACACTCAGATTGTGCAAAAGGAGGAAATGTGCAAACATGTTACATGCAGGATATATGTACAATAAAGTGACAATAATTATGTACAACAAAAGTGACAAGTGTCAATTGGAAACAGTGTCAATAGTAGTGCAGGTTTTCACACAGTGATCATTTAAAGTGACTTATTGTACAGTCTGACAGCGGTGGGGATAAAGGCCCTGCTCCTTCCTACACTGAGGGTGCCTCAGTCTTCCACTGAAGGAGCTCCTCAGCTCCTCTACAGTCCTGTGCAGTGGGAGGTATTGTTCATGAGTCCAGGGGCCTCCTGTCCCTCACCTCCTCCAGAGTCCAAGGGCCTCCTGTCCCTCACCTCCTCCAGAGTCCAGGGGCCTCCTGTCCCTCACCTCCTCCACAGAGTCCAGGGAGCAGCCCAGAGTGGAGCTGGCCCTCCTGACCAGCTTGTTCAGTCTGTTTCTGTCCCGCTCTGTGCTGCCCGGGGCCCAGCACACGGCAGCGTAGTAAATGACAGAAGCTACCACAGAGTCATAAAAAGTCCTGAGCAGAGGCCTGCTCACTCCGAAGGACCTCAGCCTCCTCAGAAGGACCTCAGCCTCCTCAGAAGGAAGAGGCAACTTTGGCCCTTCTTGTGCAGGGCGTTTGTATTATGGGACCAGTCCAGTTTATTGTTAATGTGAACACCCAGGTACTTGAAGCTGTCCACCAGCTCAATGTCCTCCCCCTGGATGTTCAGCAGCGTGTGGGAAAGTGGTTTTCTCCTGAAGTCGATGATCATCTCCTTGGTCTTACTGGTGTTCAAGCACAAGTGGTTGCGCTCACACCAGTCGACAAAGTCCTTGATAACCGACCGATATTCCAGTTCGTTCCCCTCAGACACACAGCCCACGATGGCGGAGTCATCGGAGAACTTCTGCAGGTGACAGCTGTGTGTGTCGTGTGTGAAGTCTGAGGTGTAGATGGTGAAGAGAAACGGTGAGAGGACAGTGCCCTGAGGGGCCCCAGTGCTGCAGACGACCACCTCAGACTCACAGCTGCGCAGCCGCACGTACTGTGGTCGGTCCGAGAGGTAGTTGATGGTCCATGCAGTGAGGCTACTGTCCACTCCCGCGTCCTCCATCTTCCCCTGCAGCAGTGCCGGCCTGATGGTGTTGAAAGCGCTGGAGAAGTCGAAAAACATGACCCTCACAGCGCTCCCGGCGGGCTCCAGGTGGGAGAGCGTCCGCTGCAGGAAGTAGATGACGGCGTCCTCTACTCCGATGTTGGGTCTGTAGGCGAACTGCAGCGGGTCCAGGGTGGGGCTGACCACGGAGCGGAGATGGGTGAGGATGAGCCGCTCCATGGTCTTCATCAGGTGGGAGGTCAGTGCGACTGGTCTGTAATGAGCCGGTTCCTTGGCGTGTGCTGTTTTTGGAACCGGGATCACACAGGAGGTCTTCCACAGTACAGGGACCTTCTCCAGGCTGAGGCTCAGGTTGTACATGTAGCTGAGGACCCCAGAGAGCTGGTCTGCACAGGTCCTCAGCAGCCTGGGACTGATCCCGTCCGGTCCTGCGGATTTCCTCAGCTTCAGACGCTGGAGCTGACTCCTCACCTGGTCCGGTGTGATGGAGAGGGGGGAAGGACCGGGGTGTACTGTCCGAGGTGGGGGCTGGGGATGCGGGGGCAGGAGGGCCCGGGGCAGCTGGAGGCAGTGTCCACTGGGCGGTGTCCACTGGGCTGGGGACGTGTGAAGTGGTGGGGGCGGGAGGGGGGCAGATGGAGAGGGGGGAGAATCAAACCGGTTGAAGTATTGGTTAAATTCATCCGCCCGGTGCTGGTCTCCATCCGCTGTTCCTCTGGCACTCTGTCCAAAGCCGGAGATGTTCTTTAGGCCTCTCCACACGCGGCGGGTGTTTCCCTGGGCCAGCTTCTGCTCCAGCTTTTTCCCATAGTCCTTCTTGGCCCTCCTGCTCCTCCACTGGAGCTCGTGCTCTGCTCCTCCCTGTCCCTGAGATGAAAGCCCTTTTCTTGAGGTTCAGGAGGGCTTTAAGCTCAGGGGTCACCCATGGGTGTTGTTAGAAAAACACCGCACCTTCTTAGTTGGTACAGTGTTATCCACACAGAAGAGAATATAGTCTGTAATGCAGTGTGTCAGGCTCTCGATGTCCTCACCATGAGAGCTGCAGATCATTTCCCAATCAGTGTTTTGAAAACAATCTCTCAGCAGCTCATCCACATCATCGTTCCACACTTTTACAATCCTCTTCTGCGCTGGATTTCTTCTCACCACTGGTGTGTATTCCGGAGACAGACGGACCAGGCTGTGATCAGAGCGTCCGAGAGGGGGGAGGGGGGAGGAGGCGTATGCGTCCCGCACATTAACACACATTAAATCTCTAGCTTGCCTTAGCAACCGTCTTAGCGACACGTATGTTAACGCCATCCAAACAAATGCCCATTGAAGGAAAAAATCCTCTTCTAACACTATGATGATGTCACAGTGTGGTGATGTCACTCTGTGGTGATGTCACTCTGTGGTGATGTCACACTGTGGTGATGTCACTCTGTGGTGATGTCACACTGTGGTGATGTCACACTGTGGTGATGTCACACTGAGGTCATGTCACTCTGTGGTGATGTCACACTGTGGTGATGTCACACTGTGGTGATGTCACTCTGTGGTGATGTCACACTCCTCATATCTGCTCTGTGTTCCTCAGTGATGGTCTCTCAGCGATGACAGCGCTCAGAGTGCAGCTGCAGAGGAGCCTCCACAGGTGCTCGGAGCTCAGACGCTGCTCCATCCTCCGTCCTCCATCTGTCCTAATGTCTCCTCTGTTCACAGTGTTTCTCAACTCGACAATCTCCGAGGGAAAAACAAAAAGCTAATGTAAATATGTGACTTTGATCTTGGGACCAGATTCATGTCTGTGTTTAACCTTTGACCTTGTGTTTTTACAGAGCAGAACTGAAGCACATGAACCACAAACTGCAGACACATTTAAGGTACTGAAGGTCCGGACCATGTTCAGACCGGATCATGATCAGACCGGACCATGTTCAGACCGGATCATGCCGCGGCGAGTTTCAATGCAAAGTCAATAATGACGTCCGCCCATGCCAAAAATTGCATGGACGTCGCGGCACGCATGTTTATCCCGCAGCTGACGCCTTATGGTGCTTTCAGACCGGATCATGCTGCGTCGGCTTTCAATGCAAAGTCAATGGTGACGCGCAATCGAGCGTCAAAACGCACGAACATCTCGGGACGCACGAACGGACTGTTCAATAGAGACGCACGGACTTGGCGGGAAAGTCAAAGGGGAGGAGCAGGACCAGAAAATGGACGCCCACAGGACATAAACTTTGCACAACCTTTCCTCGGGACGTTCGTGCAGCGACCAATCAGAGAGCCGCAAAGTGGTCACGGGGACATTGGTGGTCTGAGCGAGCAGACTAAACATGCTGTAAACAGCCAAAACAGGAGCTAAACCAGGACTAAACCAGGGCTAAACCAGGACTAAACCAGGACTAAACCAGGACTAAACCAGGGCTAAACCAGGACTAAACCAGGACTAAACCAGGACTAAACCAGGGCTAAACCAGGGTTGACAATGGCAGACTGTGGGCTTGTGAATATATGCGTGTTCATGCTCCCGTGACTTTATGCGACTGCTACCGTTTAATAATAAAATAACGTATTAATATAAACTATATTATTAAAATAAACTATATTAATATAAATGTATACTTAAACTTATATATATAAACTTATGCGCACCTCCGTGAACACATACTGCTGTTATATAAAGTCACCTCCGTGAACACATACTGCTGTTATATAAAGTCACAGTGAACACATACTGCTGTTATATAAAGTCACCTCCGTGAACTCATCCTGCTGTTATATAAAGTCACCTCCGTGAACTCATTCTGCTGTTATATAAAGTCACCTTCGTGAACACATACTGCTGTTACATAAAGTCACCTCCGTGAACACATACTGCTGTTATATAAAGTCACCTTCATGAACACATACTGCTGTTATATGAAGTCACCTCTGTGACCACATACTGCTGTTATATAAAGTCACAGTGAACACATACTACTGTTATATAAAGTCACCTCCGTGAACACATACTGCTGTCATATAAAGACACCTCAGTGAACACACTGCTGTTATTAAAGTCACTAATACATACTGCTGTTATATAAAGTCACAGTGAACACATACTACTGTTATATAAAGTCACCTCCGTGAACACATACTGCTGTCATATAAAGACACCTCAGTGAACACATACTGCTGTTATATAAAGTCACTGTGAATACATACTGCTGTTATATAAAGTCACCTTCGTGAACACATACTGCTGTTATATAAAGTCACCTCCGTGAACACATACTTCTGTTATATAAAGTCACCTCCGTGAACACATACTGCTGTTATATAAAGTCACCTCCGTGAACACATACTGCTGTTATATAAAGTCACAGTGAACACATACTGCTGTTATATAAAGTCACCTCCGTGAACACTTAATCCTGTTATATAAAGTCACCTCCGTGAACACATACTCCTGTTATATAAAGTCACCTCCGTGAACACATACTGCTGTTATATAAAGTCACCTCCGTGAACACATACTCCTGTTATATAAAGTCACCTCCGTGAACACATACTCCTGTTATATAAAGTCACCTCCGTGAACACATACTCCTGTTATATAAAGTCACCTCCGTGAACACATACTGCTGTTATATAAAGTCACCTCCGTGAACACATACTGCTGTTATATAAAGTCACAGTGAACACATACTGCTGTTATATAAAGTCCGTGGAAGGTCTCTGAACACAGACACGCTGCAGAGCAGCATATTGGAGAAGATCTTTACATGAGAAGCCGCTAGCATAGCTCTGTTAGCATTAGAGCCGGCCGGCTACTTCCGGCGCTGGTCAGGACGTTCTGGTGTGAAGACCTCTGCGTCTGAAAACTAGAGAATGCGCGTCTGGTGAGCGGGGCTTCAGCGTATGAGCGTTTGCGGTCTGAAAGCACCATTATTGTCACGGCGACATGTGCCGGTGTTCTGTCGGTGTATGCCTCTTGTCGAGTTGTGCTGCCTCAGCTGTTTATGATGTAACGTAAACCTGTGTCTCACAGAGGCAAATGTACATACATGACATAAAGTCTGAAATTTTGTTTTAAAAGTTTAGATACCAACGAATAAAGACAAAAATGTAACTTTTAATGTCAATCACACTACTGTGTGATAGCAGTCATACCGACTCCTGTCAATCACACTACTGTGTGATAACAGTCATACCGACTCCTGTCAATCACACTACTGTGTGATAACAGTCATACCGACTCCTGTCAATCACACTACTGTGTGATAACAGTCATACCGACTCCTGTCAATCACACTACTGTGTGATAGCAGTCCCTTTGTTGTCGAGTCAAACTGCTGCATACGTCATTTACAGGTCAGGTTGATAATGGAAATAATAAACTAATCTAAGTGATACAAACTGTGATACAGACTGATACAAACTGTGATACAGACTGATACAGACTGATACAAACTGTGATACAGACTGTGATACAGACTGATACAGACTGAGATACAGAGTGATACAAACTGTGATACAGACTGATACAGACTGATACAGACTGATACAAACTGTGATACAGACTGTGATACAGACTGATACAGACTGAGATACAGACTGTGATACAGACTGATACAGACTGTGATACAGACTGATACAGACTGATACAGACTGTGATACAGACTGATACAGACTGTGATACAGACTGATACAGACTGTGATACAGACTGATACAGACTGTGATACAGACTGTGATACAGACTGATACAGACTGTGATACGGACTGTGATACAGACTGTGATACAGACTGATACAGACTGTGATACAGACTGATACAGACTGTGATACAGACTGTGATACAGACTGATACAGACTGATACAGACTGTGATACAGACTGATACAGACTGTGATACAGACTGTGATACAGACTGATACAGACTGTGATACAGACTGATACAGACTGTGATACAGACTGTGATACAGACTGATACAGACTGATACAGACTGTGATACAGACTGATACAGACTGTGATACAGACTGTGATACAGACTGATACAGACTGATACAGACTGATACAGACTGTGATACAGACTGATACAGACTGTGATACAGACTGTGATACAGACTGATACAGACTGTGATACGGACTGTGATACAGACTGTGGGTAATGTTTTCTCTTGTGTCTGGTCAGACGCAGACTTTTCGAGGAGCAGAGGTACGTGTCCTAGAGCAGAGACACACACATAAACATGCGCACACACTCTCACACACACACACATACAGACACACACACACACACACACACACACACAGACACACACACACGCACACACACAGACCACACACAGACACACACACACAGACACACTCACACACACAGACACACACACACGCACACACACAGACCACACACAGACACTCACACACACAGACAAACACACACACACGCACACACACAGACACACACACACCTCACATTTGGGTCTTCTGCAGATGTTTGGACCAGGACGAGGTCGAGGAGCTGAAGAAAAGGTACCGACTTAAAACCAATGTTTTTATCACATTTTTAACACAATTAACTTTAATCACTGCAGCCTGTCCTCCATCATCCAGAGACACCAGCAGCACGCCAGGTATTATCATTAGTATTAGTACTATTACAGTATTATTATTGGACTATTATAGTATTAATACAGTATTATTATAGGACTATTATAGTATTAATACAGTATTGTTATAGGACTATTTTAGTATTAATACAGTATTATTATAGGACTATTATAGTATTAATACAGTATCGAGTGGGGAACTTATGGAGTCTCTATTTCGCTAAAATGTATTTCACTAACGAGTTTTGATTTTTAGGAAAATGCCTAACAAGGAACGGACAAAATGCGCTAGCATTAGCATTAGCATGCATAGCATCTGCGGCCGCAGACACAGCTGACAGTCCAGTCTTTACTTTGCTGACTTTCATAGATACAGTATTTTTGTGTAGTGTACGGTTGTAGTAACCGAGGGAACACAGAGAAAGAAGTGTAAAATACATGTTTTAATGCCAAAGGTTGTCTCAAACCAACATGTACATGTGTAACAAAGCTAAAAGCAGGCTTTACAATAGTTATTCCCTGGAGCATAACAAATCACCCAAATAACAATAAAGAGTCATTTTTCTCGCCTCAAATGTTGTTAAAAGTAACATTTGTGCCCTATTTATTGCATTATTGATCAGAACTATCATCTGTACCGTTGATCCCAGAGTGACGAGTTCCACTGTTGTCACTATAACAGCCTTAATCCTCCTCATTGTTGGTCTCATTCAAACTCTACAAGGCGTACGCTGCATTGAAAATAGTTTTCACTCAAAATAAGAGTGATATTAAGCCGCGAACAGCTCCTGTGTGTGCGTTTTCCCGCATCGCCCATTCTATTTAATAGGAGTTTTTTTTTATAGTGTAACGTCCTGGCTCGAGGTAATGAGTGAGACAGTGTTCTACTTGTTGCTTTAATACAAGATGGTTACTGTCGGCCGTAACCACGTGTAGGGTAACTACTTATATTGCTGATTATGTTATTATAGTATAAATTTGGTAGTGTGGGTCTGCTTTATATTTATTTTGGCACCAGCAGGGTGTATGACACACTGCACAGACCAAACCAAATCTTTGCCTCGATCAGTCTTATGAATCTAATAGGTAGTGAATGCGTAAATCGGCCAGGGATATACCGAGATCTAACAACACGACTCTGATGGGGTTGAGTTAAAGAAAAGAGGTTTATTGATTACAAAATGAAGGTAAAAATATAACGAAAGGGGATTTCTGGTCACATTAAAGCAGAAGTGGCATACATTTCATTCAAATCACACATTTAACAAGAACAGTCTTACTTTGTAGGAGCGTAGAGGATGGAGAAAGGATTTGGGTTGGGGAATCAACCCACGTGGTTTCTTTGTCTGGGCAGGCGGGAGGTACGAAGTCAGCGAGTTGGTCCAGCTGCTGATACACGCGTATGCAACTCAGTCCGGAATGGGTTGCGCGCGTATGGTCCAGAGCCAAGGAAAGAGGCTGGTGGTGGAATAGTTCATAAGGTCCCGACTCCCGAGCCAGAGGAGAGTATGTTTGGCGGAGTAGGAGGCCCGATGCGTGCAGGCGCGACCGTAGTAGGAGACACGTGCCGCGGGACGCAGATGGGCCGGGGAGGTTGGGATAGTGATTTCAGGAGGAGACAAGAGGAAGTTCTATGGCATTGTTCGTGTTTATATTGACTTCCCAGGGGAGGCGTGTCCATGCCGCCCCTGCCCTCTGTGGACAAACCCCTTCACAACAGACAGTTTGTAAAGGAAACACACACGATTGATGCAAATGATCATAAGACATGTACAAACACGCAGTGCATTTACATCACAGACATCAACACACACGAGTAAGGTCCGTAACGTTATCGACATAATATTACAGAGTAATGTCCTTTTCGGGTGTCCGCCTTGGGTGCAGTGGTGTCCAGTGTCCGCTAGGGAGCGCCAGAGCGCCGTGGGAGAGTCTCAGGTTGTGGAATGTCTCATGAGCGATTGCTGATGACTGATTCCTGATCTCCGTCTGGCAGGGGGCACACAGATGTCCTGTTCTGTTGTTTTATTGCCCCTCTGGGTCTCGTTGTAGTGTTCCTGGTGAATGTTAACCTTCAATTGAACCCGCAGTTGCTTTGAAGTCTCAGGAGCTAGGGAGGGCATGTTTACGGAAAGGGTCTGTTATTCACACCCGATTGGAGCTCACCTTTTCGTCACCCTACATACCCCCCCCACGGCAGAGATGCACCTTCCGACAAGGTGCATGTCATGTCGGATGTGCCGAGTGGGCGTCTCCTCAGTCGGTCGTCTCGCCTGTTCGGGTGTTAGTGCGTGATTTGTGGTGACATGTTACAACATTCTCGCCTTAATGTGACTCAGTAATTCGCAAGCGCCTAACTGGGGCCAGGCTCGTGGCAGTTGGGTCTCGGGCCTCTGGCTTGGTCTGTCGAGGCCGGGTTTTCTCTAAGGCGAGTCCTGGCCCTGCAGGCTAGTTCTAACCGGGATCAGGGGTTTAGGGAGTGAGCTCCGGCCGTGAACTCTAAGGTTTGGGCCGGTGTGCCTGACTCCTGGGTCTCTTGGTCTGGAAGACTCAAAGTTCCAAGCCGAGAGATTAGCAGGAGTTTCTAATCTAGGGGACTAGGATGTAAAAATAAGGAACTTCAAAAATCCGAAAAAGGGTGGCTGCCTTGGCAGCGGGTAGGAGCGTCGTTAAGGCACTCGATGGTGAGGGGTTCCCACCTTGCTCGTTCTAAAAGGGGAGTGTAAGGGTTACACGAATATATGACGTAGCAAGTGGGGCGTTAATTACGAGGGACATTTCCTGTACATAAACGGGGATGACAGGTATGATTGTCTAGGAGACTGATTAGGCATCGAGGTAGATTGGTTGGGTCTGAGCTGGTGACTCTTAGTGGGGTTTTAGGCCCTTGGTTCACCTTCCGTGATAGAAAGAGTGACCGTCTCGAGTGGGTGACTTTGGAGGTCCTCGTACTCTGACTCGTTGACCTGGGGGCGCCGACTCAAATTGCCACGCTCGACGGCGCTGTCGCCCCGGTTCGGTCGTATACGGATCCGTCTCGTCATTGCCTCCGCGCACCTGTTAAAGCTATCGCGGAGTCGCCTAACCCGTCTATTTAGGACGAAGACCGTGGCTATGGCCAGGCCGTACCCGATTCCTACCGCGATGGCTACGACTGTATCGGGGGCAGACCAGGAGTAGGCCACTGGTTGGTGGTGGATGGTCGGTCGCTTGGCAATCTCTTGAAGGAGGTTGTCTACGACCGCAACGTCCACGGTTTGTGCCCCCTCGTAGGTGGCTTGGACTAGGGTGGAGGGTTGGAGTTCCAGAGCCCTTTTCTCGAAGAACTCTGGTACCTCGATCTCTGCCTCGTACTGGTTTGGGTACAGGTGGTATAGTGCCAGGTCGCCTATGTGCAGGATAGCGTCGGTTGGGACGTTGACCCAGAAGGTTTCGTCCGGGAGGCTTACTCGGGACGAGGTGTCATGTTTGTCATAGGTCAGGGTCGCCGTTCTAAGGGGAGTGTTCACTAGCCATCGTGCCCCTACAATCTCTGCTCTGGTTTCGGTTATTTGCTTCCGAGAGGTGACCGTCGCGGGGCATCGACTCCCTGGAGTCATGGGCCTCAGGCCGCAGATGCCATCTGTACTGTCCCTGACGAAAGGTTTGCTGGGGCAGAGGTAATGGATGTCCTTAGTGAGGGTGCACATCCTTAGATTTGGCGTTAGGTACAAATTGGGGTTGCTGTCGTGGTAGGCTACTATGTCTGGCGTCTGGACTCTGACGTGGGCATTGTCCCTCCAGGTCCCTAGGTTAGTGATCCCTTTCAGTCGGTAGATTTTGTCGCCGGGAACTATTGGTAAGGTGACTAGGAAGGCTACCTCGCGGTCTAGAGGATTAACATAGATGGGGACTGCAGCGCCCAGCGTGTACGCTAAGTGGGCTTGCATGGGTGTTACAGCGTCCCGTGTGGCTACGGCTAGGATGTCCTCAACTAGCGATAGCGGCACGAGGTATGGCGGGATACGGCCCATGGCTAGGTTTTCGATGGAGGAGCTGAGGTGACGTAACATGTCCTCCATCAGTTGTGTGGTCAGCTGAGTATGGGCGTAGTCTAGTTGGAGGACGTCTAAGAGTTGGTTGACCGCAGCGGAGGTGCGTTTAATCGCAACCTCGTGCGTGTTAAGTACACAGCAAAAACGGCTGAGTAAAATTTCCAGAGTCATTATTTTTTTCCTCCAATTGAGTTCTTTTTAAACATTTTAGAGTAAAATAACCTCTAGCGGCCTCTAGAGTGCGAGTGATTTTTCAGAGATGATCAGAATCTCCTCGATTGGAGTAAATGAGGCCCCGCCCTATGTCCCGCCCCCAAAACTCAGGTCTTGAGCTTCTGAACCGCCGCCATGACAGTTTCTCGCTGGACACTAGCAGACGGAGTGTGGAAACCATGGATGTACTCATTTCTTTCTACGTCATGGATAGTCAAAAGGATACAAGGTGAGTCTAAATGCGTATTTAAAGTTTGTCACTTTTTTCAGTTTCATTTAGTCCATGCTGTTATCGCGGTGTACATTTGGAACACAGTTGTGTCTTGTGAAAGCTGCTAGCTTAGTGCTGTTACAAGTTACAAATACTGATATAGTGTTACATCTTCTGGCAATCATATGTGGTTGGAGTTGTACAGAGTTTATTAGTAATGGATTAATATACATTCAAAATGTAGAATTTGTTAAACTTATGTTAATTAGTTAATCAAATTTTGCGTCACTGCAACACATTCTTTGAGCTATTTTTTAGTGTGTGTATGTGTTACTTTATTCAAATCAATCTGTATACACTGAATACATTTTATTGTAAAACGCCTGTTGTGCTCCGGTGACGTAGACAGACGACCGCGTGTATTACTTTGGTGCTTTAGCATGGTTTCTCATGGGTTAGAATGGGCAAGTATTTGACACTGGGAATGAGCTATGGTGGCACGTTAGCATTGTTACAGACAGCGCAGCACATGGAGGTGACTCTGACATGAGTAGTTTTGTTGTTAGCATTGTTACAGACAGCGTAGCACATGGAGGTGACTCTAACTTGAGTAGTTTTGTTGTTAGCATTGTTGTTAGCATTGTTGTTAGCATTGTTACAGACACTTTGGATGCAGTTTTAGCTATGTTTGCCACATAAACACTATTACTGTTACAACAGTGACCACATGTGTGTAGTAAAATTGTTTTATATGTCTCCTTAGATGAATGCTGAAGTGATGTGCAGCGATCCACAGAAGTACATCTGCTATGAAGGGCAGCTTTGTTTTGCGTTATTCTTAAAATGTAGTAAGTGGGAAATATGTAATTATCTTTAGCTTCAGGGGCATTATAAAGTAAAATGCTTTGATAATATTACATTGTACTCCACTCTGAAATGCCTTGATACTTGTAAACAATCATAAACATACATTTGTTTTTGCAGTTGCAAAATAAATGGATATTCCAACTTTCAAAGTCTATGATGAGACGAAGACTGAGGTTGATGAAGTATTTGAATTTCTCCTCAAGAAGGAGCGTTTGGGTGTGCTAGATGTTTGTTCACCAAAGGGTGTGTGTTTTTTAAATAATTAATTAATTTAATGCTGTATTTTCATATATTAAGGTTTTTATTTTGACAACTATGACTTTATGTTGCAGATGGGTTGAGCTCCCCAAAGTGGAGAGACTGAGGTTGACTCTGAGGACGCGATCATAGCAGTTTAGACCTGCTTCAGTCAATAGAACTGAGGAGGTTCGTCTCTCACATGTGAGCTTGATGGTTATATATATATGCACCACACTATGTAGCTGATTAAGTTATTTTATCGTTACCATTGTAAACACTTTGTTTTATGTTTCCAGATTGAGAGCATCCCAAAGAACAAACCAGGAGGAGATGGAATCTTAAGCGATTATGCTCAAAAGCCTTACAGACAGCAGGAGACGTGATATGGTCAACATTTTGGTTGCGCATATGACAAATGAACATGGTAAAACATTGCTAATTTTGAAAGTTTCACTGTTTCATAACTAAAATATAACCTATTATTTTAAAGAAGTCCTTCAAGGCGTGTAAAAGACGAATATGCCAGAGGAATTATTGCCTTGTTATCTCTGTTTGGCAGATCCAAAGAGCTAACTTGGTATGATACTTAACTCCTCTGAACATTTGTATCCGAGTCATTCACAGGCATGTTGTCAAACTATGTTTTTTATTTCAGGAGCACTATTACCGTTTTTCTGGCTGTGTCCTATGGTCCCAAAAGGACACCATTACCAAAAGGTTAGTTAAAGACTGTTGAGTTATTCTGTTGGAAAAGGTAAATTATTTGTATGTTTATTTGTCTATAGGTGGTCCGCATGCTAACTGAGATACCTACAAGAGGAAGATTGATCTGTGCTGGCAGAAAGTCTATTCTGTGAAGCAATTGCTCTCATGAAGCACACAATGGATGAAGCCATAGTCAAAGAGAAGATGAAGCAGACATGTCACTATCGTCAAAATATGGTCCTGAAAAATCTCTCGGTCTTTACAATGTTTTCAAGATTTCTGGATATATCAGGACTGGTAAGTCACCTTAAATATTGATATTGTTAATGTTGTATCAACATTTCATTATGTCTTTCGTTATAAAACAGATAGAGCAGGACTTCAGACTTACAGTATGCTTGATGATGCTACTTCAACAAAATTAGCCAATTGTCTGCAATCAAGAATTAAAGCTGAGTCCACCTCTAAAGTTGAAGGTGAGTTTTTTTATATTGGTGAAAATGGATCGTGTCACAAACACAGTAGATGACTTCCGTTTGATCTTTTTCAGGCTGGGGCAATGACATGTCTTCTACTTCACCAGACATGTCTGTGACCATCTCACTGTTTCTCAAGGTAAGGTCACCTCGCTTTTTCTAACTTTTTGGAAGGGCTTCATTATTAACGTATGCTTGTTAATTTTCTAGACTGGGACCAGCATTCAAGATCATCTGCACGGAATCACAGAAAGGCATCAACCCTAATATTTGGATTTCTGTGTCAACAGTGTGCATGTTCACAAATGGAATGAGAATTTTCTATTGAGCAAGTATTTGGTGCCAAATAAAAGGGTATGTGAAAAAATGTTTGATCTTTTTGTCATATTTCACATTTTTAGGAGCTTGTGGAGAAACTATCACTCAAAATTGAGTTCTTTTTAGGGAGTAAATTACTATGGAGTAAATATATAGTTCCTCAAGTAAGAGTACAAAATAGAGTGAGAGTCAATTGAAATTTACTCTATATAGAGTGAAATGTACTATTAAACAATTACTCAGAATTGAGGAATGTTAACTCTTTTTAGGGAGTAAAATACCATGGAGTAAATTTATAGTTCCTCTCGCAAGAGTAAAACTAGAGTAAGAGTCAATTTAAATGTTCTCTGCAGAGAGTGAATTTTACTATTAAAGAGTAGAATTTTTACTCTAAATTGAAGAGAAATTACTCCGATTAAACGACTCTATCAAAAGAGTTAATTTGACTCTTTTTAGAGAGGGACCAAATGTTATCAAAAATGGAGTTAAATTTTCCTCAATTTGAGTAAATTTTACTCTAGCGATTTTACTGTGTACTAGCATGGTTCCTTTCAGGGATTTTCCCAAGGTTACCACGTCGTTCTGTTGTTGGTCAAGTCTGGTTTTGACATCCTCGAGCTCAGAGGCCATTTCTTGTTGGTGGCGTCTGAGGGAGGATAGGCTGATGGCGTTTACCGTGGACATCCCTAAGCTAAAGAGGGTGCCCAGGGCGGATGCCGCGCCGAGGAGAGCCCCAATAAATCGTTTGGGTCTGGGGCGAGGGTCACTGAGCTCTGTCCTAGTGATCGTGAACTTCTCTAGTTGCGTCAGCATGTGTTGTATGTCTGCCTCAGCATGCTCCACGACCGTCTGGGTCCAGCGTGCGCTGCCCAATCTTTGAGTGTGACCTTCAAGGGCAGGTTCTGGCGGCAGACTTCACTAGGATTGAGTCTGACAAAGATTCGCTGTGTGTGGAGTCGGACGTCCGTGATGAGGAGCCCGGGTTGTTCCTTTAAAACGATCCCGGAGGCTGGTCCGGTCTCAATAATTTCTGGGGTGCCGAGACCCAGTATGCAGGTCAGCACGAGAAGGGAAGTGGGCCACATGTTCTGCAAGGCGTGAAACAACTGTTAGGGGTTAGACAGAGACAGAGAAAGAGAAAGTCGATTAGTGCAGCCGAGAGGAGTGTTGGTGAGTGCTGGGCTAATCGTGTTTGGGGTCGCGTGGCGTGTTCCTAACTGGGGTTTGCGGTGTGCCCTACCTGTCCCATGGGGCTTGGTTTGTGTGGTTTGATTTGGTTGCGATGTACCCATTTGAGGGTGGTTTCTCTCCTACCTTTGGTGATTTCGATCTGATACACCGCGGGTGAGAGCTTGTTTACCACCTTGTATGGCCCTGACCAGCGAGGTAGCAGTTTCTGGCGCAGTCTGGTGGGGCCGGTTCCCATTTGTCCTGGGGGATGTGCAAAGATGTAATACCATACCTGGTCTCCGACCTGGAGCTCGTCGTGGGACGCCTTTTGATCGTAATAGGCCTTCCGTCCTTCGGCGCTGTTTCCCAGTTTCTGTTGAGCGAACGCGAATGTCTGTTTCAGGTGGTCCTGCAGATCGGTCATGTAGTGATGCGTGGTGTAGGCCGTGGCGATATTCGCTTCGCCTGGCTGGTAGAGCAGATGCAGCGGGAGCGTCATTTGCCTACCTGTCATCATCTCGAATGGGGAGACCCCCGTGGAGCGGTGGGGTGTGGCTCGGATTGCCATCAGGACCAGTGGGAGTTTCACATCCCAGTCCCTCTGGTTTGTAGCTACATACTTCTTTAGTATTTCAATCACCGTCCGATTTGTTCTTTCTACCTGCCCCGAGCTCATGGGGTGGTGGCTCACGTGAAGGGAGGCCCGAACACCAAGTGCTTCCCACAGGTGGGTCATGGCTTCCCCGGTGAAGTGCGTGCCACGATCCGAGTTAACTCGGCACGGTAGTCCGTATCGTGAGAACACATGGTTCATCAGTAGGCAGGCCGTCGTTTGCGCTGTGTCGTTTGGGGCTGGTAAGCCTTCGACCCATTTGGTGAATGCGCAGGTGACCATGAGGATGTATTTGTTGCCTCGGGTAGACTTCGTTAAGGGGCCCACCCAGTCGATCTGGAGGTCCGACCAGGGGAAGGTTATACCTCTGGACTGTAGGGGGGCCCGGTGTAGTGGTCTTGTTGGTTGGAATTGGCAGCACACGAGGCAGCCCTCGACGTATTGCTTGGCGTCCTTTTGCATGTTTGGCCAGTAGGCCACCTGTTGTAGTGCCTGGTGTGTGCTGTTTATACCTCTGTGTCCCGCGGAAGGTGCGTCATGGGCGTGTGCCAACATTACCCCCCTCATGCTTTGAGGCACCACGAGCACCGGCGAAGTGTGTGCGTTGGAAGCATAAACCAGAAGCCCATGTCGTATGGACAGCCTCTCTCTCTGGCGCCAGAGTTTCCGGAGCGTTGCGTCACTCGACAGCGTCTCGGGTGTAATGTCATGGCCGTTCGGGTCGTTCGTGGCATCGATAAGGCGTTTCAGCGTGGGGTCCGCATTTTGGAGGGACACCAGGTCGGACCTGTCGAAGGTGGGGGTCGTGTGTGCGGGCGTGACATCCGGAGTTGGCTGCTTTGTGAGCGCGTTAACCCTCGTGACCGCACATACTGCGGGGGCGGGTTGCTCTTGGGCGGGTGTCTCAGGTAATTGCTCCTGGAAATGCCACTCTGCGCCGTTCACGGCGCCTTGTTTGGCCAGGCTGTCGGCCATGTCGTTCAGCTCTTTGTCCATGCCAGGCTCCCGTGAGTGGCCCCGGACCTTTTTCCAGTAGATCTGCATGTTGCGGTCCGTGACTATCTTATCGCAGGACATAAACAATAGTTTGTGTTTGACTGGCTTTTTGCTGGAGGTGACGTAGTCATTTTTCTTCCACAGGGGCAGGTGGCAGGAGAAGCTGAGTCGGGCGTAGTTAGAGTCTGTGCAGATCACCATGGTGTTGATTCCGTATAACACGGCGTGTTGTAGCAAGATTAGTATTGCGGCGATTTCCGCATATTGTGAAGTTTGGGGCCCCAGGAGGAATTTCTGTGGGGCAGCGGGCTCGTCGCCCTTCCACACGATGCCGACACCGGCGCGTTTGATGGTTTCGTGGTGGAACGAGCAGCCGTCCACGTATGCAGTTGGTAGGCCGTCACATAGATTCTGGTCGAAGTAACAGTGTTGTTGTGGCTCGAGTGGGGTGGGTAGCAGTTCCACCTTGGTCCCGGCTGGTGTATCCACGATGCAGTCTTGGCATTCGGCCAGTCCCATCCCGAGGTACGACCTGTGTTTTTGTGCGTATGACACCTGGAGATCGAAGCTTTGTAGTGCCATCAGCCAGGTGGCTACCCTGGCGTTCGTGACGATTCCGTCTCTGAGCCTTTGGCTGGCGAGGAATGTCACCGGTTGGTGGTTCGTATTGACGACCACTGTTTGGTTGCCAATGTAGTTCGAGAAGTGTCTCACCGCCCAGACGGTGGCCAGTAGGGATTTTTCGCAGTCAGAGTATTTTGTCTCGGGTGCGGCCATTGTCTTGCTGGCGTAGGCGATGATTCTTTTGTCGGAGTCGTGAGTTTGGTATAGGCCCGCGCTGAGGCTGTGCTCGGAGAACCCGATTTCCAAGAAGAATGGTTTGTTCGGGTTCGGGTACACCAGGCACGGGGCTTTTCTCAATCGGTCGAGCAGGGCCTTCATGGCCTCGTCATGGCTGTCTTCCCAGACGAACGGGGTGTCCTTTTTTAGGAGGTTCGTCAGAGGTTTCGCTATTTCGGCGTAGTGTTCCACAAACTGGCGGGAGTAGTTGCACACTCCTAGCAAGCTGCGTAGTTCCGAGATGTTTGTGGGCGTCTTCAGGTTCGCCAGGCCTTGGGTCCTGTCGGCTTGCGGTTCCACGCCCTCTGGTCCGACTAGGAGGCCTACATAGTTTACCTTGGTGCGGCACCATTGGCATTTACGTAGCGACACCTTCGCCCCAGCCGAAGTTAGTTGATTCAGGACGTGGTCGATTTCCACCAGGTGTTCCTCGAAGGAGGTGGTCCTCAAGAGGACGTCATCCACGTAGATTAAGGTGCCCCTGCTGGCCGCATCCGGGCAGGCCTTGTTTAGGAAGATGTTGAACTCTGCCGGCGAGTTCGAGAGTCCGAAAGGGCAGCGTGTGAAAGTGTACTGCTTGTTGGCGAAGCTGAAGGCCAATTTGTGTTGGTCTTGTGGGTGTACCGGTATCGTCCAGAAGCCTGAAGCGATATCGAGCGTGGAGAAGAACTTTGCGTCCCTAACTTTTGGTAGGTCCTGGCCCAGTTGGGTCATTGGCCATCTGGACAGGGGAATTTGCGAGTTGAGGCGGCGGTAGTCGACAGTCAGTCGCCACTTGCCGTTGGGCTTGAGCACCGGCCATATAGGGGCGGAGTAGGTGCTGTTGCAGGGTCTTATGACCCCTTTTACGAGGAGGTCGTCTATAATGCCCTGCACCGGTTTATACGATGCCAAGGGAATTTTGTATTGGCGGACGTAGGTCGGCGGGGCGTTGGGTTTAGACGGGATGCGGACTGTGTGAATGTTGGTCAGGCCGCAGTCCGTTGCGTCTGTGGCGAAAGAGGATTTGTATTTCGTCAGCACCCGGCGGAGTTTAGCTCTTTCTTCGTCAGTATTGATGGCATCCGCTAACGCCACGGTTTTGTCCAGCTCCTCCTCGAAGGAGGGGCAGGCGGTGGGTTCTTGCGTTGGCTCGTGAACCTCTCGGGTGGGGAAGGTGTCGACCCCCGAGTCTATGACTGAGATGGTCTGTAGGACCATCTCCGACTGGTTAGTCAGGTCGACTCTATACACGTCGCTGGATTTGGGGATTTGGGGCCGGGTACCGTGAAGAGTGAGATCGACCTTGATGGTTTGGTGAGCAGGGGCCCCGCGCGTCGGGGTCCCGGTCCAGCCCTGTTGGCCAGTCCCCTATATCACCGGGAGGCGTAGGTCGAAATCGTGGAACGTAGTGTCGATCAGCCAGCCCAGTGGGGTGCCCCGCAGTATGAGGATGGCATCCCCAGTGGTATTCAGCACCTTAACGTGCGCCCTGCGGCCTTCCAGCCGTAGGAGGGGGGTCGCCTCCGTTTGTAAGCCCAGCGTTAGGAAAAGGTGGGACGGTTGGAAGAAAACCTGGGAGTTGCTGGTCATTTGGCCAGGTAGGACTACCAAGCCTAGTGGCGCGGACGTGTTGGGTGGCAGCGAGAAGTGGTTCTGCGCTGCCACCTGGCACACCTCCGGTATGGTCTGGCCCGATTTTAGGTTGTCTAGCGGGGGGGTCTCGGATTTATTCGTCACGGTCGTTAGCGACCAGAGGACGTTGTTGATCGTGTCTATTTGTGTGTCTAAGCGCGTCAGGACGTCGCCGCCGATGACTATCGGGTGCGGCAAGCCTTTGACGACCGAGAACGTATGCTTGAGCGTCTTGTCATGTATCTAACCACCATCTGGCGCTGTTCTGCGGCGACACGCAGCACGCTGTTGTCTCACAGGCCACAGTATTTTAACAATTTTTCACCTACAGAAGATAAGTGTCTTAAAAACTGTCGGTGCATGAGAGATCAATGAACATTTAGAGATGGATGTCACACTATATTTCCTCATTTTTGTCACACTTTTGAGCACTGTTTGGAGTGACAGACAGCAGCCACAACAATACACTCGGGAATTCCTGCTAGGATTGCAATGGAATCCAGTTGCTGTGGACTCCAGTATTTATTCTTTGACTGAGAATCTACTTCAGGATTTACTTGTTGGCCAGAATCATGACTTTGTGAAGCGTGGTCAAGTTAGAAAGAGGGGTAAACGCGGAGGCGTAAAGCGGCGAACCAGGAAGCTGCAGAGCAAGAACCGCATTCCCCTGCCTTCAATTGTCATGGCCAACGTGAGATCTCTTCGAAATAAGATTGATGCGAACTGTTCTGTATCGCGTTCGGCCATCTTGGAATTCTCATGCGCGGCTATCAAGATCACCCGAGAACTGACACTTCGCGGCCAGAGGGGGGCACTATTTACAAGGCTATAACTTTCAATGGGCAGAACACTCCCCGTCTGGTGCAATACAAATTGTATCTGGTGTAGAGCGCAACCCACTTGTGCTTGAACACCAGGTAAGACCAAGGGAGATGATCATCGACTTCAGGAGAAAAACCACTTTCCACCCGCTGCTGAACATCCAGGGGAGGACATTGAGCTGGTGGACAGCTTTAAATTACCTGGGTGTTCACCAGTGAGGCCGGGTCCCCCGGCTCAAAAGTGGCTAAAATGGATGTGGCGCCGACATGCTGCAATATAACACCCCAACCACCACACCCCCGGGCCGTGGGGGTGGACACCGAATGAAGAATTAAGCCAATGCTAACATATCACTTGTGGCCATGTTGGAATAGCGCCAGTATAGCAATATTTTTGGCCCATTGGTGCAATACAAATTGTATTTTTTGTACTCGGTAAACATAAATTTAAATGAAAGAAAAATGCCTTATACCGGTGAAAACGATCATTTAACCACTGAAAACAGCGAGCGGAAGACACGTTGTGTGCGGGGCGCACTTAATGACGCATCTCTGCGCGGCACGTGTAGCAGAGCGGCGTGCAGGGGACAACAACAACAGAGACAAACGGCTGAGGGCGGCGGTGAAGACCATGGTGAAGACATACAGATTGTAGAAGACATTGTGCCAAAAACGCGGAGCTACCTCAAACATATGGGAGTAGTTTGGGAACTAGATCAAAAGAACATTTGGTGTTAACTTTCGACAGTGGATCAAATGTTGTGAAAGCAGCTTGCCCTAAACCATGGTTCCCAAAAGTGGGGCGGGTCCCGACCCCCCGGGGGGTCGCGGGAACCCCTTGGGGGGGTCGCAAGAATGATTTCCAAAAAAAAAAAAAAAAGAAAAAAATAAACAATTAGCTATTTAATAGCCCTAAATATTGATTTAACATTTGACTTTGATTCAAAAGGACTTCCTTGTTAAATTGTGTTTTAGGAGAATATAAAATAATTAAATTACGTTTGGTAATTTTGGGTCCAGTCTTGACAGCGTCAATCAAAATCAAGTTACGTACTTACGTCACGCAGCGACAAAGCGTGTCAGCTGTTGTTTGCTAAAACTAAAGGTGTTTGGAGGCTTTCATAACAAATCTACCTGCTTTAAAATGAAACGTGGTTAATATCCCACTACAGAAAAACCCGGATTGAGAGAAAAGGCACATGTGATGTCAGGCTGATGGTGCAAGAAGGGAGAGTGGGCACGTGCGGGAGAGAAGGCAGCGGTAAGAAGAGGGTGGTAAAGGGCCCCGGCTTTTCGGAGTCAGCGGTAAAGAGGTTCCGCACATCAAAAATGCGGGCGGCGCCTCTTTTCCTGCTGTTACTTTAATGCGCTTCATCCCCAGCGTCTTTCTTTTCAACGTTTACTGTAAGTATCAGCATAAAGCAACCCACCCGCTTTTAATGTGGCGGACCTCTTTAACCAAACTGACTTATCCGAAAAGCCGGGCCTCTTTACCACCACTCTTCTTCCGCTGCCCTTCTCTCCCATCCGCTGGCCCTCTCTCCCTCTTCTTCGCAACCACAGCCTGACCTCTAATGTGATCTTTCTCTCCCTCCGGGTTTTTTTTCTGTAGTGGATAATAACCAAGTTTTCATTTTAAAGCAGGAATTATTTGTTTGAAGCCTCAAACACCTTTAGTTTTAGCAAACAACCCAGCTGGACACAAACGCTTTGGTCGCCTGCGTGACTTAAAGCTACTAACTTGATTTTTTGATTGACGCTGTCAATGACTGGTCAAAATTACAAACGTAATTTTACAATATTTTATATTCTCCTAACACAATTTAACAAGTAGTCGGTTTGAATCAAATCAAAATGTTTATATCCATATTTAAGGCTATTTAATAGCTAAATGTTTTTTTTTTTTTTTTTTTTTTTTTTTTTTTTGGAAATCATCTTGCGACCGCCCCCCAAGGGTTCCCAAGCGACCCCCCGGGGGGTCGGGACCCCCACTTTGGGAACCACTGGTTTAAGTGCAGCTGCTTTTCACAACATTAGATCACGGTCGATAGTTACACACAATTGCTTCTTTTGATCTAGTTCCCAAACTACTCCCATATGTGTTGTGGTAGCTCCGCGTTTTTGGCACAATGTCTTCTACAATCTGCATGTCTTCACCATGGTCTTCACCGCCGCCCTCAGCCATGTTTTGCTCTCTGTTGTTGTTGTCCCTGCGACGGCCGCTCGCTACACGTGCCGCGCAGATGCGTCATTAAAAGTGCGCCGCACACAAACGTGCTTCCGCTCGCTGTTTTCATGTTAAATGACGTTTTCACGGTATAAGCATTTTCTTATTCATTTAATTTACTTATCCCGGTAAACAAAAAAAATATCGCCCTACCCTAGTAGTCATGGCTATCTCCGCCTTACAATCAATGGGCCAAAAATATTGTTACTGGAGCTATCCAACATGGCCACAAGTGCTATGTTAGCAATTGGCTAATTCTATTCCGGTCCACCCCACCGGCCCGGGTGGTATTGCAGCATGTCGGCGCACATCATTTTAGCCACTTTTTGAGCTCGGACCCCGCCTCCCTGGGTGAAACACCAGGTAATTTAAGCGTCCACCAGCTCAATGTCCTCCCCCTGGATGTTCAAGCAGCTTGTGGGAATGTGGTTTTCTCCTGAAGTCGATGATCATCTCCTTGGTCTTACTGGTGTTCAAGCGACAAGTGGTGCGCACACACCAGCGACAGTCTGTGATAACTGACGATATTCCAGTTGGTTCCCCTCAAACACACAGCCCACGATGGCGGAGAACTTCTGCAGTGATCAGCATGTGTCGTTGGTCGTATTGAAGTCCTGAAGTGTAGATGGTGAAAGAGAAACGGTGAGAGGCACAGTGCCCTGATGGGGGCCCAGAACTGCCAGGACTACCACCCAGACCCTCGCCGCACGTACTGTGGTCGGTCCTGAGGGTAGTCTATAGGTCCATGCAGTGAGGCTACTGTCCACTCCTGCGACCTCCTCTTCCCCCCAGTCAAGTACCGCCTGAATGGTGTTGAAAGTCACTGGAGAAGTCGAAAGAACACTACCCTCACAAGCGCTCCCGGTGGGCTCCAGGTGGGAGAGCGTCGCTGCAGGAAGTAGATGACGGCTCCTCTACTCCGATATTGGGCCTGTATGGCGACTGCTGCGGGTCCCAGGGTGGGGCTTGACCACAGAGCCGGAGAAGTGAGGAGAGAGCCGCTTCATGTCCTTCATCAGGTGGGAGGACAGTGCGACTGTTCAGGTAGTGAAAATCCGGTTCCTTGTTTGTCTCTGGTTTTAGGAACCGGGATCACACAAGAGGCGTCCACAGGACAGGTACCTTCTCCAGGCTGAGGCTCAGGTTGTAATGTAGGTAGGACCCTCAGAGGCTGGGACTGATCCCGTCCGTCTTGCGGATTTCCTAATGGGCGCTCTGCTCACACACAAATCCCTGATGGTTATGCCTTGCCTTGATCCAGTACAGTGAACCATGAGTTTGCCCCCGTGATTTTGCCCCCGATATTTTCCAAATTTCCTGGATCCGGGGGATGGGGTGGCGATCAGTCAAAGTATTTGGTTCCAAAGTCTGTAATCCACACATAGACGAGGGTTCCATCTTTTTTTTTGGACACAACACTAGGTGACGATAGTGTATTACATGACTTTTGAATCCATCCTCTACTTCAGCAGATTCTTGAATGTGAGACTTTACTTTCTGGGTAGAGATGACGTTCGATAGAGTTATAAGAACCTTTGGACTGGGACGTTGTGTTTTAACTGAAGTTCATTTGAAGTTCTTTAATACATCCAGTGTCCCAATCTGTCCTTGGCAAACACGGTGGGCTCTCCTCTCTCACATCTGCTTGACTTTGCTGCTGTTCTGGAAGAGATGGCTTCAGGTCCCAGGTGGATCCCATAGCTACCCCTTGTGGCCCCTCCCATGTACCCTGAGCTGTTGATGCGGTGCTGCCCTCTTCCTCCTTGGGTCCAACGGCACACACTTTCAACCCTATGCAGTCAGCCTAGTGTTGTACAGCCACACATTGTAATAGTCCAATATAGTATTTTTGACCCATCCACTCCGATAATAGACACCTGTGAGCCAATGTCCACAACAGTCCTATCCGC